TGTGTGTGTGTGTGTGGCTTTTATTTAACAGTGAAGATGGGACAGTAGTCTGTTTTTTTTAATGAATGTAAAAATCTTACAAATACACCTAGTCTCCTCTACGTTTTATTTTATTTACGTTTGTGTGTGTTTTTTTGTTTTGATTTGTTGTTTAGTTTTTAGTTTTTTTTGACAGTGAAGAGTGGACATTAGTAACATTAGTTACATTAGTTACTGAATGCAAAAATGTTTCAAATACACCTAGTCTTCCCCACGTTTTATTATTATAATTTGTTTGTTTTGTTTGTTTGTTTTTATTTTATTTGTGTGTGTGTGTGTGTGTGTGTGTGTTTTGTTTTGTTTGAGTATTTTTATTTTTATTTTGGTAGTGAAGAGGGGACATTAGTCTAATACTGAATGCAAACATTTTACAAATACGCCTAAACTCCCCTACATCCTTATTTCATTTCATTTTATTATTTATGTTTGTGTTTTGTTGTTGTTGTTGTTGTTGTTTTGGCAGTGAAGATGGGACATTAGTCTGTTACTGAATGCTGAATGTTACAAATATGCCTAAACTCTCAAGAGGGGGTAGTAACACCTGAGAAATAGGATCTTGATTGTGTTGCTGGCGAGACTCAAACCTGCATAATCTATTTAAGTGTTATGGCTCTTTTAAGTGTTGTGGAACATATCGAGTACACAAATGCCTGCACCACACCTCTGTCTCCCCTTGCTTTTCTTCCTGGTTCCTTCCCTCTTCCTTTTTTGTGTCACTTTTCTTTCATCACCTTTTCATTAGTTGTTATTTCAACCCTGTTATTGCTGGTTCTATCTTTATCCACTTGCCATTTCTCATTGAGCTTTGCGTTGGCTGATTATCTTGTATTAGAAACGGCAGCAAGACCCGCAGCCAGTAAACTTGTGCCCTGCTTCAAAAATCAGTGTCTTTTAACAGACCATAATAAATAGATAACACACAGTGATGAATCTCAGTCTCACCTGGTGTTTGTGTGTTTATGCTGAACAGGTGATGGTTGCCGAAGCTCTGGATATCTCCAGGGAAACATATTTTGCCATCCTGATGGACCGTTCCTGTAATGGACCCGTGATGGTGGGCAGCCCTCAGGGTGGTGTGGACATAGAGGAAGTGGCTGCCACCACACCAGAGCTCATCTTCAAGGTATTGCACTTGTATCTTTTAAAAGGGTCATATGATGCGATTTCAATTTTTCCTTTCTCTTTGGAGTGTTACAAGCTCTTGGTGCATAAAGAAGATCTGTAAAGTTGCAAAGACTAAAGTCTCAAATCCAAAGAGATATTCTTTATAAAAGTTAAGAGTCAGCCACGCCTTCCTAAAACGGCTCGTTCTAACACGCCCTCACATGCCTACGTCGCTATGTGGAAAGATTTGCATAACGCCGCCCAAATGTTCACGCAAAGAAAGAAGGCATAACTTTTATTCTCGCTGTATTTTTGTTGTTGCCGCCGCCATGTCGAGATGCTGTGTGCTTCGTTATGAAAGCGAAACTACTTTGTTTGGCCTTCCAAAAGAGGACGATATCAGCTTCGTCATGCCTGGAGCTGATCCGTGCTGGTTGCTGAGGAAATACTACAACTTTGCGCTACGGATCACCGGATCGGCTTTCACCGTGGACGAAGCGTAGTCCAGCCCGGAGTCGTCACATGTCCTTCCGGACGCTCCTTCGTCGAAATCGCCGGCCGCACTATTCTCAAGCCCCCCCGCCTCTGCTCACTCTAACCCTCCGGCCGTTCCTCACACTAGCCCCCGGCCTCTGCTCACTGTAGGCCGCCGTGTGTGACACTGTTTCGTTGTGAAAGCGAAACTACTTTGTTTGGCCTTCCAAAAATGGACACGACTAGAAATCAGTGGTTAAGTTGTATTTACAACACTGTTCCAGAACAGTTCAACCCAAATATTCGGATGTGTGCAGCACATTTTATGGAGGACTGTTTCCTGATCCTGGTAGAGTAGACTACAATGCCGGCTGTTCTGACTCAAAGACTGTAAGTACATTAGTTAATAAACACATTTCATTACACCAAATACACAAAATTATGTTCTTTTTAGCAATATCATATGACCCCTTTAAGGGTTTTAAGGCTGTATAAGTGAGTTACTTTGTGATTTTATGCTCAAGGGGTCATTTTTTTTATTTGATGTTTTGAAATAAACTTGCTTATAAAAAAAAAGATCTACAAAAATCTTAAAGGGGTCATATGATGCTATTTTAAAGATCATTATTTTGTGTATTTGGTGTAACAGAATATGTTGACATGCTTTAATGTTAAAAAAACACATTATTTCGCAAATACTGTACATTATGGTAGGTCCTCTATGCCCCGCCTCTCTCAAACACGTAGTTTTCAACAAAGCCCCCTCCTTTGACAAGCGCAGTCTGCTCTGATTGGCCAGCTGACCCAGTGCATTGTGATTGGCCGAACACCACAAGCACGCGTCGAAAATGTAACGCCTCTTACCATAATCGCTTCAGCTTTCAAAGTAAATATCAAGACAGTTAATAATGTCGTTAGTTTTACCATCAGTTCAAGCCCGAAAGGGCAACAGAGTCGCGTGACAGACACAGTGATGATGCAGTACACAAGCCG